CCTCCACTTTCCAGCCCACCTGAAAGATGGGGCTGCTTTCAGCAGTCTGGGGCATCAACCTGCTTCCTGCTGACTTGGGAAAAGGCCCCCAGGCCCTGCCTTCTCCATACATTTCCCGTCAGACCTTTTACAGGGTCACTTTCCAAAGTGCTGGCCCTGACTCAGCCGGGAAGAGATGACAGCGTCCCAGGGAGCTGCCTTGCGCACACCAGTTTGGCTTTAACATATAATCAAATCAGTGACAGCAGGTGGAAAGAGCCCTCCGTTTTGCCGCAGGAGCTGTCCTTGAGTACGGGAACAAAGGAGGACCAGAAGCCAAGGCTGCGCCTTTGCACGGGTGCACTCATGCCCACACGCACGCACGGGCAGAGGAAGGACTTCAAAAGCTTTCATCGGATTTGCCTCTTGGAAGGCGGGAAAGGGGGACCTCTTTCTGTGTTACACTAACGAAGACTAGAATCCCCCAAGGTGTTACACAAAATAAGGCAGCCAAGAGTGCCAAACTCCTGTGACCCCCAGTGGTATTGAGGAGAGAAATAAGGAAACCAGAAGTGCTGTGACTTTTCCTTCTGGGGCAGGTTTCTGTGGAAGATTGAGCTGGCCTCTAAGAGACATACTGGTGATGTTCCTTGGCCAGCCAGTTTAACGGAGCCCATGACTACATGGCCGTCCTGCTTTGCCAGCCCAGCGAGGTAGTAATCCATCATATTTCCCCTTCAGATAACCAAACCTGGCCTTTAGAGGCTAGAGTATAAAAATAGAAACACAAGCTGGGCATGGTGGCCCACACCTTTAATCCCAGCACTCAGAAGGCAGAGGCAGGAGGGTCTCTGTGAGTTTGAGCCCAGCCATATCTAAATAGTGTGTTCTAGGACAACCAGGACTACATAGACCCTGTCTCAAAACGAAGGAGGGGGGGGGGGGGGGGGGGAGAGGGAAAGAGAGAACACAAAGGAAAAGAAGTACCGAAGAAGGCTTTCGGAATATCACGTCTGTTTAGAACACTTGGAGACCACAGTTTACCTCTTTATTGATGACTGAATTCTGAATATGGGGTCTAAGACCTGAATTTTTTGTTCGTTTTGTTTTAAGACAGGATTTTGTTATCTAGTACAAGATAGCCTATAGCCTCCATCCCACTGGCCTTCTAAGTATGTGGCACCATGGTCAGTAGACCTGAATTTTATCTGTCCCTTTTGCAAATAGATCTCACTGTTCCTCAGTAATTCTTTATACTTGCTCCCCTGGAGAATAGAGGCAGGGTTGAAGACAGGCAGGTGGGGCAAATGCTTTCTCCTCAATAAAGAAGTGAGCAAATGTTAGACTAGATGTTTCTTCAGTGAACTTGCCCCCTTTAAACCTGTGATGATTGTGTTCTGCCATACAGCAATGCCCTGGGGACCGAGAGGTGCTCATTTGCTCCCAATACTAAGTGGACTCAGCCAGGCATAGTGGCACACACCTTTAATCCCAGCACTTGCAAAGCAGAGGCAGGCGGATGTCTGAGTTCACAGCCAGCCTGGTGAGTTCTAGGACTGTCAGAGTTACATAGTGAGACCCTGTCTTGAAAACCAACAGATGGTCTCAGGTGCTTACATAGTTGTACCCTGGCACGTGAGCTGTTCCCTGATACTGTTGTCACAGGCCTGGGGAGAAAGTCATTTTCAGCCTGATTTTTTTCTATAGATGGCTGTTGCTGGGTTTTCCCTCCTCCTTCCTAGAGCTGAGGAGCAAACCCAGGGTCTTACACATGCTGGGCATAGGCTCTGCTACTAAGCTGCACCCCATTCTGTGCATAGCATTTGATACAGGGTTTGGGGACTCAGGGTGATCTTCGCTGTAGGGGGAGCAGGCTTTGTCACAGTAAGCTGCTGCTAGGAGGTGTCTGTCACTTGTTTGCAGCTGTGACGGAGGCCCCTGAGGCCATCTTCCATGGTGTTCCAGTAGGGTGTTCCAGTGACAAGGTTTGCATATACTCCTGGTCACAGTCCATTCACTTAAGGAAGTATTTGTGGGCCTAAGAAGTTGCCTAGAAAGCATATTTCCAAGTTTTACTCGTCCTTATTAATTTTCATTATAAACTTGCAAATGTGTTACTAGGGAGAATTTTTGGCCCTAAGATGTAATAAAATCACACTGCAGAATGCAGCAGACCTTATAAAAAGCCCATATTCAAGGGAAAGTTCTAATTCTACATCACGCTTTTGTGTTCAGCTTTTGTGCTCACAGGAGTGAGCATGTGCAAGACTGGCCCAGCTGCTCAGAAGCCCATGGGCCTGATGCTGACACCCTTCCGCCCCACCCTGAAAAGAGACCCACCCCTGGCAACAGCTGTGGTAGCCCACCAGGCCCTTTCAGAGTTGTTCAGCTCCTGGAGCAGCTACAGGAGGCTGCAAGGTTTCGGCACCGACTGCTCAGCTCGGCAGCCCAGATTTCTTACTACAGCAGAAGGCCGGGGAGAGGGTGCACCTCAGCAAAACCTCTCCACTGGGGGACTGCACAGCAGCCCCCACCAGCACAGGGCTGAGTGGGGCTTAGTGAGCTCCTGGCCATTTTCCCAGTGCTCCCCACTGAACTCGCGTCTGGATTTATGATTTCCATAATATATGTGTCTTATTTTAAAAGACAAACAACAACAACAGGAGGCAGGGTGGCTCGGGTCTAAAAGCCCAGCATCCATGATGCTGAGTCAGACGACCGCGCTGAGATCAGTAGCAGATCTAGGCCAGAATGACTCTTCATCACAAAACAAACCGAGAGGAAGGAAGAGCAAGGGTTAAAACAACATCAACCACCACAAGAAAAAACCTTTCACAAACATCTGAGTTGTGAAACATGGGAAAGTAACAATGGCTATTTGCATTATCAAGTTATAAATGCAAGGATCCATTTTATAAAATCAAATCACACTACAATAAGTGTATTTAAAATGTAGTGTGTAAATGCAGGCCAAGCACATAAAAATAAATGAATCTCACAAAATACAATGTATTGCTAAGACTTTGTTAATTGCAATACTAGAGGTTGATTCTAGTACTTGGAAAAATCAAGTTACACCCCAGCTGGAGATTCTTTCTTTCTTTCTTTCTTTCTTTCTTTCTTTCTTTCTTTCTTTCTTTATTTATTTATTTATTTATTTGGTTTTTCGAGACAGGGTTTCTCTGTGTAGCTTTGCGCCTTTCCTGGATCTCGCTCTGTAGCCCAGGCTGGCCTCGAACTCACAGAGATCCGCCTGGCTCTGCCTCCCGAGTGCTGGGATTAAAGGCGTGCGCCACCACCGCCGGCTCAAACTCATTTTCTTAGATGGAAGTAGCAGGATGCATGAACACAGGAATCTAGGTTTGAAGACTGGGAACGTGGCTGAGTAGGGGGAGTGTTTACCTAGAATGCAGGTGGCTATGGTTGGATCCACAGGAATACATCAACCAGGCCGAGTGGTATACGACTGTCTTTTTTTTTTGGAGGTTTTTTGTTTGTTTGTTTGTTTATTTGTTTTTGTTTGTTTTGTTTTGTTTTTTAATACAGGATTTCTCTGTGGCGTTTTGGTGCCTGTCCTGGATCTCGCTCTGTAGCCCAGGCTGGCCTGGAACTCAGAAATCCGCCTGGCTCTGCCTCCCGAGTGCTGGGATTAAAGGCGTGCGCCACCACTGCCAGACTCGAGATTATTTAAACACAACTTTCGGGCGTGGGGGTTGTTGTTTGTTGTTGTTAAGCCAAGTGTACCTGAAATAAGCGACTGTCTTTATTTGGACTTTCTGAATCGTGAGACAAACCTGGCCAACAGCTTTCACTCAGTTCATTTTCCTTTGCATAGTTTTTAGAGGGAAAAATGCATCCAACGGTGAGCATCTGGCACTCTTGCAGTCCTTATACTCAAGGCCAAGACAGAAGGAATAGTTTGGAAACAGCCCGGGCTGTCTAGTAAGACTGTGTCTCAAGAAACAACAACAAACCACGGCTAAACTCCATTTGGAGACCCGGATTTCCAGAAATGGCCTTTGTGGGCTCTCTGCCTTCTGCTGGGTACCACACCCCATGATTCCCAGGGCTGCATCCCAGTTCCAGGTGTCTGCCTACCTTTGAAGTGGACTTTGCCAGCTGTTACTGAAATGCCCTAGTTTGATGTCCTAGGTCATGCGCTTCCCAGATCGGATGCACAGGACCCAGCATTGAGACCAGAGCCCCGGCTGTCCGGCCCCCGTTATCCAGTGTCTTGTCAGATTTGGCAGGAAAGAGCTTTAATCCTTCGCTTGTTTTTTCCCTAGTGAGAAAATGGCGTGTGAAAAATGCCCTGGGAGCCTTGGGCCAGTGGCAGCTTGAAGTGGGAGAGCCAGTGCTCTCAGGAGCCGGGAGCCTGGGATCCGAGCTCATCAAGGAAAGTAATGCCAATGTATGTCTGTTTGTCCAGGGTCTTATGGGGACTGGGAGGAGACTCCTGACCCCTCAGGGCAGGGACCATGATTGGTTCACCACCTTATATCCACTATGCCCACAGTATATATCACAAATATATATATATATCACAAAACCACAGTAGGTTTGTGTGAACACCCAAAGGGTTTATCTTGGCCATTCCAGGGCAAGGCCCCCAGGCCCGGTATGTGACAGCAATAGCAGCTGCTTTAGGTGGGAGCCATAGAGAAGAGCACAGGTCTTCCTGTCTTCCCTGGCTAGAGCCTGGGGAGGGCAAGGGGCCAACCCTTTGTACCTCCCCCAAGAATGGCCCTTGATAACCTGGGCATCATAGCACATGCCTGTAATCCCGGCGCTTGGGGAGGTGGAGTCAGGAGAAGCAGAAGTCAAGGACATCCTACTACCTAGCGAGTCTAAGGCCAGCCTGGGCTGATTTGCTTTTCACAGCCCATCTTCATGCGCAAGGACACTAAAACAAGTTTCCAGTGGCGGATTCGAAATCTCCCCTACCCAAAGGATGTCTACAGCGTCTCTGTGGCCCAGAAGGAGCGCTGCATCATTGTTAGAACGACGAACAAAAAGTGAGTGGCGTGGTGGGCACCCGTTTCCTTGTGTATGAGCTGGGGTAGAGTGGAGTGAGATCTCGGGCTGCTCCTTATCTGGGGGGCAGGCTGTACTTCAACCTCAGGGGTGCTGAGAGTGCATGAGCTGACTGTGTGGTGCTCCATCGAGGTAGAACTCGAGCCAGTGTCTAATTTGGAGCCTGTCATATTTTGGGGGCTTATGGGGCTCTCTGTTGAATGGATGAAGACTTCAGGGAATCACCTAACTATTAACTTGTGGTCTCTGGTAGTTTTATTCTAAGGCTGTTATGTCCTTGACCTGGTGAGCTTGGCTTGGTGACGTCACTGAATTGGCACGGAGCCATGTCCTGGAAGGCACACCTGCCTGGGTGGCACTTGGAGACTAAGACATTAGTCTACAGCAGCAGCCCTCGTCCCTCCCTGGACTAAGGGGAAGTAGGCAGAATTTTGGCTCTGAGAAATCTCTAGAATTCTGTTGCAGAGTCTTTATAATCTGCTGGGGGGTAGGCAGTGGGTGCTATGGTTTGAGAGGTGGCCAAGGTGTGATTACTTTGGGTTTGTGGTGCTCTGACTGATCACAGTTGAAGAATCTAGAAATGAATCCGTTTCAACCTGAGCTAGAGAGAGAGAGGGGCCAATTCTAAACTGGGACTTCATTTTGGGGGGGGGGGGTTTAATCTCCTCATCCACAAGCTGCCAAACTACCCAACTTGCTGCTTGAGGTGCAGGGCCTAACCCCATGGTGCCTGGATCCCATTGCTGCCTCACAGGAGAGCTCCCCGTCCCGCGGGTGATGTGGTACGGTCCCCCTTAGTCTAAGAGGCCTACCTCCAGGGAAGCAGAGGAACTCCAGCCCCTCCAGTGTAGCCCTGGGCCCTTCCTTCCGCCTCTTAGCGCCCTCGCGCCCTATCACTTTGGCAGGGGTAAGGGGACAAGGGAAAGGGTAGAGATGAATGAATTAATTTCAGGATTATTGCTGTACATGCAGCCAGCAGCCCCTGTAGTGGACCGTGTCTATAAATATAAAGTCATAATAATAAGGGGTTGCGTTTATAAAGCACACTGAAGTCCTCAGATAAAAGGCAGTTTATTCCCGTTATTGTTCTCATCATTAACAGGAGTCAGTGCCTAAAGTGGAATTTAGCAATTTCAGACAACAGAGAAATTGCCTGTAGGAAAACAAACTCCGTGCTTCAGCAAGCATTCCCTGGCGGACGAAGCCCTGGGTCCAAACTGGGAACAAAAGTGCTTCTGATAGCATTTGAATCTGCAGCTCAGCGCTTTGTGGAGCTGGCTGCTGCCTCCTTTTTGTCCCCCAGAGGTCACTGTGGAATACAGATATCAGGCAGAAATGTGATTACAAGCGAGTGCTAGAAGAGAGGCCTGCTAGCTCACCAAACTTCATCTGTGAGCAGATCCTCTGGGCCCCAGCTCCTGCGCTCATAGCCCACATATGCCATAGGTGGCGCTGTTGGCCAGGAGCTCTGTGACTAGTGGAGCATTCTAGCACCCAAGGGCAGGGGTTGGGGACATTTTTGAGATGCTGTTGGAGGCAAGGTAGGATGGGAGTGGTACCCTAGGAGGAGGGCTTCCCACAGAGGGGAAAAAAATGGTATTTTGGTGCTCACTTTGGAACTGAGTTTCTGAATCCTAACCAGGCTCAGCCTGCCCCCTGCAGGTCCCTCTTTTAGGAAGTAGGCTGGAGAGGCCACCAAACTTAACCAGACCTTTGCTGTGCCTAATGGAATTTCTACCTTCCAACTGGAGAAATAGTCAATGCCTGCACTTCCAGCCATCCAACAAAACACAAGTGTTTTATATGAGCAGGGTTTAATTTTTTAGAATACTTTTAGAATCTCTTTCTTGATCATCACACCATCCAGAGGTGGACATGAAGCCTATTTATTCTTATCTCTGTATTAATGGTTGTAGAAATGCATATAAAAGTCAGCACAAAGTGACCTATGCAGAGAGTGTGGCCTTCTCGCTCAGGGCCTATGCATTTTCAGTGCTTCCACCTTTCTTCACCTGGAGGTGTGCCCTCGTTTTAAGATTCTAGAATGTGGCTCCTGACCACAGCTACACATAGTTGCCTTGTTGGTATCTGCCTGGCCCCTGCAGAACTGAATGTTGCTTGAAGAAGTTGATTCCAGTGTCTTGTGGTAGACTAGTCCTTGGCCCCGGGTATTAATAACATGAATCGGGAAGGAAGAAACCATTTCTACAGGATCCTGGTGTGGCACCATCTGGTCCTGATAAGCATGTTTGTGTAAGGAAGGTTCCGTGTCTCAGCCTGGAAACTGGCAGCTGTAAGTGGAAAGATAGAGTATTGCTGAACTAGGGAGACTGGCTTAGATCTAGCCTCTGCTAGGCGTCAACGGTAGATTCTGGCCAAGTTCTCCTCACTCGTGAGAAGCATGCTTACACTACCTCACGATGGTTTGAGGAACCTGACATAGATACTTTAACTGCAGGCTTTATTAGTGAGCATTACTAGACGACAGGACTCCATGCTCAGACAGCTTCCAGACAGACTCGGTGGGACTCCCTTTGGTAGGACTGAGAACCTTGAGTGTGAGCCTGTTCATGGGGACTCTATGGGTCCCCGGAAGGAACTGTGTCGTTTGCCTAGTGCCTGAGGTCTAAGCTTTACCTGCTGCCACTCTCAGGGCAAGACTGGCTGGAGACCTCTCTGGATACCTGCCAAGCCAGTGTGCAGGCTAGAGGAGTGTGGGGCAGGGTCTGTGCGACTGTCCACAGCAGTCTTGGCCCTGCCTCAGCTCTCCTTCTGGGGCTTCCACCGAGCCTAATCTGTACCCCTTGTCCATTCACAGTGCAGGGGGTGGCAGGGAATTGGGCAGGGGTCGCAGGGAATTGGGCAGGGAGTTGCAGGGAATTGGGCAGGGGATACAAGCGGAGTGGGACAGAAAGGCACTCTGAGTTTTCCAGAAGCACAGTGGGTTCCTCTCATCCAGGTCCTGGTGAAAAATTCCAGTTCAGTTATTGTGGTGGCAGACTCTAAGGTGAGTGGGGGCAGCTGTGCAGAAGGAAAGGTGGAGTCCTTTACTCGATAGCATCCTGAGGTCAGGAGACTCTGGCAGTGGCTGTTTGACTTCACCCAATAAACGAAATCCATCACAGATGCAAAGCAAAGCTAACGCTCTCAGGCCTGGCTTTCCCTGGTGGGCGGTCGCAGGAGGATAAAGCAAGCCATCCACCTTTAAGTTCTCTGTGATCCTGAGGTTGCCATGGGTGGGGGCACACCCGGGCTGCTTCTCCTCCATTGGTCCTGCCTGGGGTGGGAGGTGCTTCTCTCCTGCTCCTGCTTTCTGTGTATATTTGCAGGGAAGATGTTAACACTTCCTAACAAGCCTTTGTGTTCACCTAATCTCCGCTGTTTAACCTTTGACCTCCTGCTATTATCAGTGTCTGCCACCTTTGCTGGCCAGACCAGGGCCCCAGGAAAAGCCCTCACTCAGCCTGATGGCTAGGAAGAGGACGAAGCAGGCATTCCAGCCATGCAGGCAGATGGATCGCCTTTCCCTGGGGCAGAGCTTTGGAAAAGAAAGCCACTCGCCTTACCATTAGGATCCCCAGCCCCCACTCCTTTTGAACTGTCAGTCTTTAAATAAACATTCTTTTCCTGCCTTGAGTCCCGGCACCTTGGTGGGGAGAGGGGAACCTGGGAAGAGAGGGGCCCCAGAGCCTCTTCTGAACTGAGGGATTTGGGCAGGGAAGACCGCAGAAGCACTGCATTGATGTCCGCTCTCCTCCGAGTCCCCGGGGCATCAGGGCTTTTGAAGTGGACTCAGTGTAACTGTCACCACAAGGGCCAGGGCCCTCTGAAGTATTAAAAGCCCATTCTCTGCAGGCCCTGCTCCAGTTTGTTTGTACCTGCCTGAGGCATTTCCCTCCTCAGCCCACACAGCCTCTCCCTGTCCAGAAAGTGACTTGTCCAGGTAGGGGCTCTAGCAGCCCCTGGCTAGCGCCCAGCCCACAGGTCCACCAAGGAAATGGAGAGGAAGGGCCTTCCTTTAGGCCCTGGTCTAGTAAGCATCAGGTGAGGAGCAGGCATGAGGAAATCTCTGATCCTGACTCCGAACTGACAGCTGACCAGGAAAGCAGGCAGGATCCCACCTCCCTCTCAATTACATTTCCTCTTGGCAAAGCCTTGTTATCTGCACTCTCTGGTTGGTTTTGTGTTTACTATGAAAATAGAGAGAGGAAGGGGTCCAGAGTCTGAGATCCGGGTTCCCTCAGTCTCATGGCTTCTCCTCCTAGGAAGATTGCTTCTTGAGGTGGACTTCCCTGTCTGCTTTTAGTAGTCAGTCTAAGAGAGCTTGAAAGACACATAGAGCCAGGTAGCAGTGGTGCACGCCTTTAATCCCAGCACTTGGGAGGCAGAGCCAGGCAGATCTCTGTGATTTCGAGGCCAGCCTGGTCTACAGAGCAAGATCCAGGACAGCCAGGACTACACAGAGAAACCCTGTCTTGAAAAAAAAAAAAAAAAGAGAGAGACACATCGTTGTCATCGTGGGGACAAATGTGGCCCAATCTTTCAGTGAGGTCCCCTGTACTACTTAGGTAAAAAGCCTTAGACATCTGCTGATGCTTGTTAGATGTCCCATTTCTGGTGTCCCCATCCTTTTGAGTCCAGAACCACAAACTCAAAAAAACCAGGTCCTTCTTGTGGGTTTCCCTTTTTCCTGCCCAGCTGTATAGAAAGTGGGGGAGAGCTGTGTAGAAACCTGGTAGCACAGGGCTGGTACCCAACTGTCGGGGTTACTGTGCTGGCTCCCCAGCAGCCTCTTGGTGTCCCCACAGGTACTACAAGAAGTTCTCCATTCCTGACCTAGACAGACACCAGCTTCCTCTGGATGATTCTGCACTGAGCTTTGCTCACGCCAACTGCACCCTGATAATCTCTGTAAGATTTGTCCAGACTTGGCATCAGGAAGAGGTTCCTCTCCCCTCCCCCACTTCCCTGCTCCAGACACCCCATACCCTAGGTGTGCCTCTTGAAGAGCAGGTGTCTCTTCCTCATCTGAGGGGGTGGAGCGTGACACCTAACAGTGAATGGGGAGGTGGTGCAAAGCACAGGACTTGGGATGTCATCCTGGGGCTGCTCCTCCCCAGCCACAGGACCCCAGCAAGGATCCTGAAGAGCCAGAGGGAGTGTGTGGAAGGCAGGGCTAGTGACCGAGTTATGCTTCCTTCCTTGCTCCCTCCACAGTATCAGAAGCCAAAGGAGGTCCTGGCGGCTGAGTCAGAGCTACAGAAGGAGCTAAAGAAGGTAAAGACGGCCCACAGCACTGATGGGGACTGTAAGACCCAGTAGCTGTCTTAAGCCTTGTACCTCCAGTGTGGAGGAAGCTGTGAGACGACCAGGCTTGGGCTCTTCTGGCACAGGGCAGCTTCTTCTAAGAATCACAGAGTCCACGGAGCTGGCTCCCGGGACACAGCTTGCTTCTGCCCATGGTTTTGTTCCTGAGTAAAGTCATTTGGAGTTGCTCTAGAAGGACTGTCCTTTTGTCCACTTGTGTAGGGTGCCTGTTCTCAGGCACCCTGGCCTTCCTAGGGAAGGTGTCAGCGTGACAACCCACCCCACCCTCCATCCCATCCCGGAGACGAGAGTAGGGACAGGGATGGGCAGCTTATAACCCCTGTGCTGCCTTGTCTTATACAAGTAGCTCGGGGGGGGGGGGGGGGGGGGAACTCCCCTGAGGTAGATGTGAGCAGAGGGGGGTTAAAAACATTCAGCAATCTTGGAAAAGGCACAGAAAGTTAAGACACTGTGCTTAAAGTGAGCAAGCCTACAGGTTGTCACAAGTGTGTGTGGTGCGCCAGAGTAGGTGACCGTGGGTTCACAGCCTAGAGCCCGTCCACGGCCCCCTGTGCACGGCCCCCTGTCCACGGCCCCCTGTCCACGGCCCCCTGTCCACGGCCCCCTGTGCACGGCCCCCTGTGCACGGCCCCCTGTGCACGGCCCCCTGTGCACGGCCCCCTGTCCACGGCCCCCTGTCCACGGCCCCCTGTCCACGGCCCCCTGTCCACGGCCCCCTGTCCACAGCCCAAAGAGGCGGAAGAAAAGAAACCTTTGTTCTTGGGGACACAGAGCCATGGTTCTGTCCTTTCCCTGTACACATTCCTGAGTTTAAATCTGATCTGCCTCCCTGGGGCCTCCTAGAATGACCTAACCACCAAAGAATCAGATTTGCGAACAACCAAATTTTATTTTTACAAAAATGAAAATCATAGCACGTTTCCCACAGCTGGCCTGAGGAATGGCTAGCCCAGAACCCCAAACTGACAGGTGTCCTTTGTCCTTTTTCTTAGTTTCAAAGCAAAACCAGGCTACTGTCTCAGAAATGAGCCCCCCAGCTCCAAGAAGTTGGCCAAAGTCGAGACCTGACTGAGGAGGCGGCTGGTATACCGGCACAAGTTCCAGCAACTAACTGCACCTCTTTTTCCAGCTGGGATGGTGGGGGCCCTCACCTCGCTCTTCAGGCTGCTATAGTGCTGGAAGGGCTTGGGGACAGGGTTGGCCTTGCTAGCCCAGGCCCTGACTTTGGCTCTATTGTGCACACCTGAGTTCAAGTCCATTCTCCTAAGACCACAGGTACTGGGAGGGCCGACATCAGTCAGCCCCAGTGTCCAGGAGGCAGTGCTTCAGGTGGGAGGGCACTGTGGCCGCCCACCGGTCTAGGAGCACAGCAGGGCTGGGGAGAGGAGTGAGGTATCAGTGACTTCACATGCCAGACAAGAGAGGTCCCTGAGTAGCTTACTTGCCCAGCCCAGAGGCAGGGGTGGTTTGTCATGGGTTCTGAAAGTCTAGGATGTGGAGATTGTAAGACAGGGCAGCATACAGGTGCCTGGTGGTGAATCGCAGGCAGTACACGGGACTACTGAGTGGAGTCGACGTCAGCGGGAAGGCCTGGAAGGGAGGACACAGGATGAGAAGAGCATTTCAACTTAGGAGTCCCAGACCCAGTGAAAGAGGAACGTGGTCCATGGGCACAACCTTGGCCACAGTGAGTCTTGCCATCCCAGGGCATGTGCTGGTCGAACACTTACATGCAGGCAAGCCCTCTGGCGCCGGTCCCACAGCCGCACAACACCGTAGTAGGAGGAGCCTGTGGCCAGCAGGTGGTTGCCATCTGTCTGCAGGCAGTATAAGGTACTGTCGTGGGGCTCCTCCCACTCCATGACACATTTCCTGTCCAGGGAGAGAGAGTGGTAGGGACAGGTTTGGGTACCCTCCCTCCAGCCCAGCTTCCCCAGGGATGGAGGCAGGTTAGGGAGCCCTCATGGGCTAGGGGAGCTGCCTTCCGACTCAGCAGCTTCTAACAACCAGACCTAATGGAAAAGGGTCCTCTGCAGAGGCCTCCTGTGAGCCTGGGGCCACAGAGGCAACACAGCCTCATCTCCCTTCTCCTGGCCGACTACCTGACCTAGGATCCACGAAGATGCACACAGGCCTCACGAGGTCTGGGAGAGGATGCCAAGAACAGTTTCCTGCTGACTTGTTGATGCTCTGAGAAATGTCTGTCCTCCTCAGTCTCCCAGGCCACACTGAGCAGAGCGGGCTAAGGGTAGGGTACCCATCCAGCACACTCACCGGGCACTTGTACGGAGGTCCCAGTAGCGAACATAGGTGTCGTAACCACAGGACAGCAGTGTAGAGGGGGACTCATACATGACATCCAGCACCCCAGCCCCTGGGGGAAAATCACTGCCCAGATGTGTGATCAGCTGCCCACTGCGGGGGGGAAGAAGGGCAGAAGTGAAAGGCTGTCCACCTTGGCCATGCACAATCTCTCACCCTGCAAATGGCATCATAAAGCTCTCCATCTCCTGGGGGAGGGCTGAGGGAGAAGATGCCTAGCTACTGAACTAGTAAATTGCCCACCCCTCCCCCAGTGTCCCGACCCCTTGCTGAAGCTCAGCAGGACAAATGCAGCAGCCCTCCATCACACCTGCATGCTGGCTGCCTGTTCCCTCGGGGCAATGAATGGGCCTTGCTGAAGGGGTCAGCCCCCCTCACAAGCACACACTTGGCTACTTTATACTCCTTGATCTGGCAGGTCATGCAGTTCTGAGCTGCCTGAGTCCAGTGCCTTAATTCCTGCCTGTAATCTGGGGCTCAAACCTTATTGGGGATAAAGACCACACAAAGGGAGAAAGGGGAGTCCTAGGAGATGTTAAAACAAGTAAACACCTTTGTGTCCAGCGGCAGAAATAGCTGAGAAAGCAGCTTAGTGTGCTGGTCCCTGGTGTTCTCGGTCCCTGGCCCCCAGCCCAGGGCTAGCACGCCTCTGTGATCACAGCCCCCAGCCTGCTGGGCTCCAGCCTGCTCCCCCACCCGTACCCCACCCGGTGGCCGAGACCAGATTACTGAGAAGAACAATTTCTTTGTGACTGTGTAATTCCCTCCGTGACCGCGGCAGTGGGCAGACCTCTCACCCCATGCCAGACCCCTAGCAACCACGTAGGGGGGCCTCTTGGCCCTAGCAACTGCCCCTCAATATCAAGTGCATCAGCTAATCCTTGTGGCCAGGGAATGGTGGCTGTATTGAGCTTCTGCAGGATGTGTAGAGGGAAGAAGGGGAAGAGGCGCCCTCTGGGCCCAGTGCCTCAGCTTCCTTTTCACGGCCCTCCATGGTATGACGGGAGAAACAAGGTCATGAACACATCACAGGGATGCTCAGGTAAGAGGCCTGGGCACAGGGCAAGAGGGGATTTCATTGACTCAAAAGTACAACTTTGGCCTGAGCAGTGTCCCACAAAGGTCCTGAAGCAGGCTGGGTTGCCAGCCATGTGTCTAAATGGAGACTTCAGCTCCAAGCTGTCCCCATCACTCACTCTCACCCAGCCTACTCCCAAAAAGGCAGCCATTGTAAAAAGCATTGAAGAAGGACGCTGGGGCTCTTTATTTACCTACTAAGCTTTTCACTGTGAACACTGTGAAGGCCTCCAAGGAACACTACTGCTGTCCACTGAAGGGTTAAGTCCCAAACGGGCACATCTGTGCCAGCCACCTTCCCGGGGATCTCCTTGATGTATGCAGTGGCCCAGTGTCGGCCTGAGGAGATAGAGACAGGCCTATCTGTCAGGGACTCCGGGGGACCAGAGACATCTCCCCAGGTCAGTGTCTAATACAGACCACTAGGCCTTGCTTCTAGAGACTCTGTCTTTCTAGAACAGCCACCAACCGTGACAGCCGTGGGAGGCGGGCAGAGGCCCATCTCAAAGGTCCACTTGCATCTGTGTACACCAGGTGGGAGCTCGTCCTCCACAACTCTCCCTCTCCTTTCCAGATTTTGGGGCCCTGCCCACTCCATTAGTGAGGCTGTAAGGAGTGATTGAGGAGCGCGCTCTCCTCTTTAATCTGTGGAAGTAATTTCATGTTTGTCTGAAACAGAAGATGAAAGACCGGGTGTAGGGGTGGAGCCCAGTGGAGCCCCATCTGCCTGTCCACCGTGTTGCTGGGATTCGGAGAGAATCAGAGCTGGGTACCCACCGCTGGCGGGTCAGAAGTGAGAGGGGGCACATCCAGATTGAGCCACCAATCTGGATCCTGTCCACTGCCCAAGTAGCCACCAATACAGCACAGCCTAAGGGGTCTGGGGAGACCCAAAGGCCCAGTCCTTCATCTGCTTGTCCCAGCCTGGGAAGTCTCTGCTTTCCTTTGTCTGGGACTCTCAAGGGGCCACACACACTTTAAACCACCACTACAAAGATACAGTTTCTTTGGCCTTGAGGCCTCCAAGCTCTGTTGTATAGCACCGCAAGGTTAAGTTCAGAGCATCAACTGACAGAGCAGGCTCTGGGAAACGCCTGTCTCTCCTAACAGTAGCCCAGCAGTGCCACGGGAGCCCTGCTGGGGCTTTGATTTGGGAAAACAAACAGAAATGGCACCACGGGCCCTTCAGGTTCCCACCCCAGGCCCAATTTAAGTAGCAAACTAGCTTAACTGTTGTGATGGAGGGAGACTGGCCCAACAATGGCCCTCAACAGTCTGTCTGTCTGTCTGTCTGCTCACCCCCTGTGCTGCTTTTCTCACTGCAAGCGTGTTCTTGTAAAAACGATTAGATTGCAATTTGTATAACGTGGTGACCCCCAAATTCAGACATTTCACCCCTTTTCTCTAGAAAGAATGTTAAGAATGCTTCTCGGCCTCTCACTGTAGGGGGTAAAGGGGGGTGGCATGTGTAGAGACTTGGCTGTCCCACAACTTGTGTGGGAACAGGGCTGCTGCTCAGAGCCCCAGGGCCAAGACAGGAGCAAGAACTGGGCTTGTCACTATAGAGAGCCAGACAAAAAGTCCCTTCCCTTCCAACTCTTACAGACAAAGCGTAGGCCTCCAGGAGCTGCTGAGGGCTGGAGACCTCCACACCCTAGCCTCCTGAGCCTGACTCCAATAACTCTCTCCACCCAGGAATGATAGAGATGGGGCAGCCTGCAGGGCGAGCCCGAGGAATGAGACAGGCTGAGGAGGATTGCTGAAGGGGCCTGTTCCCGTGGCACAGCCTCTAGTACTGTGCAGGAAGAAGCAAGCTGCGTGGGACCGTATCCCTGAGGAGTCTCAAAAGAGAAATCAGGTGTCCTGGGCCTGGCTCACCTGCTGAGCAGAAGGAGGAAGCAAAGTGAGATAATGCACTGCCATCAGCCGCAATGGTCCAGCTGACAGGCATTCCCCTGCCCCTCCAGCCTGAACCTTACAGTCTAAACACTATGCTCTACTTCATTCTCAGCCCAGACCTTACAACTCTGGCCCACATACTTACCACAAGCCTCTTGTACTAGAGTATTCTGAGGCTTCCAGCCCACAGTGACGCACGCTGTGACTCTCACACCATCTTTCAGCTACTTTTAACATTCTGGTGCTGATGGGACTCCCTGGAGTCCCCATACACGTACATCCTCATCCCCCTAAGTGTCAAGCCACCTCATCTGGCATGTGCTACTCTCAACCTTAACAGTAGTTTTGAAAGACTGAAGTATGACAAGCAGTTTATCTCTTCTCTCCCAGGGCAAATGGCCTGTAAGTTAAATCAGACCCAGGGGCACTAAAGAACAGTCACCTCCCCTCTTCTCTCCTCCCTTAACCATTAACCAAGCACCTTCTACAGGCCAGGTATTGTGCTTTAACAGAAACCACAGGGAGATGTGAGCTGCACTATGGAGGAGCCACTGTCCAGTGAGGGAGAGAAGTCTAAATTTATACTCAGCTAACAATACAGAGAAAAGAGAACGTTCTATAAGGTAAATAGACATTTTTCAGGAAGGAGAATGAGTGATTCTTTAGGTAGTGATGGGATTGTGATGGATAGCAATGACAAGGTGATGAGGCTGGCCATCTGATTTGGCTAGAGGCTTGGCAATGTGAGGGAACACATGGCAGTCTCCGGCATCCAGCCCTCTGAAACCTGTGGATGTACACACATCCCTAATGTCATGAAGCACTGTGAGGCTTTGGGGCAGAGTAGAAGTCTCAGATTAGCCTCTGATTGGGAATAAAGAAGCCAAAGCTACAGAGGAAATACCTTCAAGTCACATACCAAGAAGACAGAACCCAGGATCCAGGCTGAGCTGCAAAGCCAGCCTGGTGGTAACCTAATGGAAATGGCTGTAGAGGTCTCATGGTGAAGGAGTAGCTGCTACCTCCGTAGAAGCTCACATAGTTGAGTCCCTGTGTCTGGAAGGCCTACACTGAGTACTTCACACCTACTGTCATGTGGTCCTTATAATAGGCCTCTCCCCGACCCCTTTGGTTTTTTGAGACAGAGTTTCTCTGTGGAGCCCTGGCTATCCTGGAACTCGCTCTGTAGACCAGGCTGTCCTTGAACTCAGAGATCCTCCTGCCTCTGCCTCCTGAGTGCTGGGATTAAAGTGTGCACCACCATGCCCAGCTTAACTCCGTGTTCTTTTAGGCCTCCAAGTCTACCACTTTTCCCTTAACAGCGGAGCGCCAGTTCTGTGTCTTGGTCTCTCACTGTCATGTGTGGGTAAGTGGGCCCTGCCACATGTCAGGAGACCTGTGACTTGCCCCTGTGGGAATGGGAGGGTCAAGTTGGTTGCAAGCCCCGGCCCTGCCCTAGCAGATACAAGGTCCACCTTCAGGTCCTCACTTGTACTCTGCAGGCCTGTCTACCTCTCAGGTGCCTAAGGGGCTGGTCCTCTAATAAGAGAATCAAGGGAACAACCCCCCCTCCAAAAAAAAATATTTTTTTTAAGCATTTCTTGGCAAGGTTGTGCTTATGGAAGTCAAGGAGCAATTTAAAGGAATCCGTTCTCTCCTCCCGTACAGGTTCTGGGGATCAAGCTCAAGTCATCAGGATCAGTGACAGTACCTTTGCCCACTGAGCCACCTGGCCCAGATTTCAAACCTAACAGTGCAGATGTGGGGATGATGTTGAAATATATCGTCCCTGCTACGTCAGGAGGAGGAGGCGGCACACAGTGTCTGTCACATGTATGTGTGTGAGCATGCCTCCCCTCCAGCACCCACCACAGCACACGTGTTCAGACACAATGGCTCAAAGGCCAGGCAGCCGGGCAGCCCACTTTGTACTGCTAACAAGGCGACGTAATTACAGGAAAGGGCAGCCGGGCAGATAAAAGGATACAAAATTTCAACATCTGTTGCCATAAAGGGATAAGGAGAAGTGAAACGCAAAGTATCAGTTTGGTGTCAGCAGGCAGAGAGCCGATTTCAAAGAGTTCAGGAGGACAGGACAAGAAAGCAAAAGCAAAGGGGGAGAAAGAATAAGAAATTACAGGGTTCCTTAAAGAAGGAAAGAAAAAAGAGAAGGAAAAAGCTGTCAGTAATACTTTCAAAGGAGAAGGCAGGTACTTTCAAGAGGGGCAGTCCCCATAATCACCCTGACTGAAGGCCAGGCCCTGCACGGGGCGGGGGAGAGGAAGGCCAGGGGAGACAGCCACATCTGAGTGGAATGGGGCACGGACGATGTCCTCAGCACAGCAGCCTGTGATGACCACTGTTTCCATCTCCATCCATGTGCCCTGCCATTCGGTGGTTAGCAAATGCCATATATCCATATCCTGTGCTCGGCGCAAGGCAAAGTTACATTCCCAGCATACCTGGGGCTTATTACAGGTAGCCCTTACAAGTCTGCTTACTCAGTACTCAATGGAAGAGGCAGCTTTGTGAGGGGCACTTCTAGTGCTGACACAGAAGTCTCCTGAGGCAGAGATTGGCTCCAGGCATGGGGTTGCCCTGAGCAAAGCCTACATACGTGGGAAACCCATTCTGCCCTTTCCCTGGCTAAGAAGAGATTCAGCAGCTTCAAGACAGAAATGAAAGCATAACAGAGAACAGGGATGACCCTGGCCTTAGGGACAGAGAGAGAAGGATTTTTGTACAGGGCCATGTGACCACATACCTGCAAGGTGGCAGTACCCAGAGGGCTTAATGCCTTAGGAACAGTGACATCACCTGCTTCCCTACTGCACAGTTCCCAGGATGGCTTAGGGCCAATGGTTGGACCCCCTGTGACAAGCTTCAGGTCTGGAGTTACAGGCTTCTCCACCCTGTAGCTTACCTGTCCCCAGTCATAGGGGACCCAAAGCGCTCTTCTCTTAGTGGCCAATGCTAGATCCAGCCAGCTCAAATGCCCCTTGGTAGAAAATGCCAATCCCATAGCAACAGCAGGCTCATGGTGGTGGCGGTGATGTCAGAGCATTCAGATCTGCTAGGCCTTCCAGAAGCTGGGAGGTGTTTGCCACACAGTCAACGTCTGGTACCCCTAGGGACTAGCCAAGTGCCTTGTTGAAATGCAGACAGAAGACACGGAGTACACTTTGATTCCTCCAGGCTTCAAGCTAAGGACTAGGAGGGCTTTGTCACAGTTCCTCAGAACCTGACAAGACTACTTCAGGGCTTGGCTGTCACTAGGAGTTGTTGGCACTTGAGAATGGAACACAGGGTCTGAAGACCATCAACTGTCAGAAACTGGGTCCTAGGCACCTTGCAGCTTCCTCACTGGGAGTCCCCTCTCCTCGGGCTTAACTTACAGTGCTGCTCCACCAGAGAAAAAGGCTGCAAGCGAAAAGGACATAGGACAGGCAAGCTCCAGCCAGCCCTTCCTCACCCCTCTTCCCTGCTTAGCCCCTGAGTACCCTGAAAGGGCTCTCCGGGCAATCTAAGCTCGGCTCAGTATGGGCTGCTTTGGATGGGTACCTGAGAGATGAATGTGGCAATAGCTCTAAAGATGGCAGAGCCTATGCCCAGTGGGACAGCTGCACCTGGTGGATGTCCCAGCCCCCACCATCACCTAAGGGTAGCCCAAATGCTGAGAGCCCCCATCCCCACCCCCGCCAAGTCAGCACACACATAAAAGAAAATCCACGCCATGCTCAGGTTTCGGCAATGACAGGTTAAAAGCAAAGCATCCAGCCAGTCCCGCATTCCGCCCAGCCAGCGTCCTGCCGGCAATACCACTCTACCTTGCAGATTGCCTGTCAGTCAGGCTTTGGTGTTATTGAAAGATCAAACTTGGTCCTGCCTGTTCATTACCTTAATCCTGTTTTCTACATGGCTTTATTATCTGCTTGGGCTTCTTTAGGAAAGACAGTTCCAGAGTTGTCCTGACCATCCATTTCCTCCCACCAGGGAACCTCCTCACCCCCGGCCCTGCTCAGTTCTCCAAGCTGTGCACAGTCCTGGATACAGGACAGATGTTTGCACGAGGTCTGGTTCTTTCCCTGAGTGATGAGGCTAGAGAGGGCAATGGCAGATGATACCTAGGGTGGCCCTGTCACATGCAGAGCCCAGAAGCTGGCCAGAGAACACAGTGACAATAACTCATTTGGTTCCAGTACAACCCAAGGCCTTAGTTGTCTTGTGCCCATTCTTATTTGGGTTCATTTTGAGTTCAGAAAAGGGTTAGTGTTTGGGGTTGACAAGGTCTAGGGATTTCATAGCATGACATTCAAAGGGTCAGTCCTTTGGAACTCATCCTGCAGGATCCTAAGTCCCCTCCATGGCAACCATAGGCAGCTCAAAGATTATCTAACCTTTGTTTGTTTGTTTGTTTGTTTTGTTGAGACAGGGACTCTCTATGTAGCCCTGGCTGTCCTGGAACTTACAATATAAACCAGGCTGGCTTCAAACTCAGAGATCTACCGGCCTCAACCTCCCAAATGCAGGGATTAAAAGACATGCAACACCATGCCCACAGATCATCTAACCTTTGAGATTCTGCTAAGCCATGGTGGTGTAGCCAGCCCACCCTCCCTGTGCTGGGCCGAGGGGATGGTACATGAGCCCCAACTGTATAACTAACTGAAACAAACTGCTGGCACAAATGCTCATCCCTGGACCGGAGCCGCACTGGCAAAACCCTTCTGCGCTGTGAGGCCGGCAGATTCCTCTCTCACTACTGGTGGTGGCCACGGGTTTCCTGGGGCTTGAGAGGTCAGGTCTCCACAAACTGTTCGGTACTGTGGGAGACGGCAAAGGATGCAGGGGTCGGCAGCGGGGGCATTTTTCACAGTTATTTAATCATAACTACTTCTGGTAGTTGGGAACAATGGGTTCGCATTTTTCAGTCCCCAATGTGGAAAGCAAAGTATAGAGAGGCCCAAGATGAAGCTGGTTCTGGAGTAGGAGCCTGTCAGGCCACACAGCCAGGCCGCCCTCAGCTCCTGCTGTTTCCAGCACATAGCCCCATGAGAGAGGGCTCCTCCTGCCTCACCCTTAATCTCAAAGGGGAAGGACTGGGGTCAGTCTACAGAATAAATTCATGAGAACAAATTCTACAACATGCAAGATGCCAACAGCCTCAGGCCATGAGACCACAGGAGCCCTAAAAGTTTTAGCTAAGCTGGCAATGGGTGGCCAGCCAGGCAGTGGTGGCACACGCCTTTAATCCCAGCACTCGGGAAGCAGAGCCAGGTGGGCCTCTGTGAGTTCAAGGCCAGCCTGGTCTACAGAGCAAGATCCAGGAAAGGCACCAAAACTACAGAGAGAAACCCTGTCTGGAAAAACCAACAACAACAAAAAGTTGGCAGTGGGTGATGTAACCACCAACTGCATTAACCAAAGTAAACAGATTTTTATGTGTGGTGTTTTACCTGCATTTATGTCTGCGCACCACATGCATAGCTGATGTCTTCAGAAGCCGGAAGAGGGGGTCAGATCCCCTGGAACTGGAATAACAGATGGTTGGGAGCCACCATGTGGGTACTGGGAATTGAACCCAGATCCTTTGGAAAAGCAGCCAGTGCTCTTAACTACTGAGCCATCTCTCCAGCCCCACAAAAGTAGATCTAGAGTAGGAAGGTGAGACCCATCTCACTTGAGACCACACTTGGACTGGTGAGTGCTCAGAGGGACTGACTCAGAAAGTTGAAGGTAAAAATGGTCCTGCAACCAGTGTGAGGCCAACTCTGTAGGCACCACTGACCCACTGCTCATGTTCTCTCCTGTTAACCAAACCCCAATTCTGAAACACCTGCCTTTCTCTCTGCCAGCACCAATATGACCTCGAGGGCCTTCTTTTTCCCAGGCCACCATTTTAGTTCCTCAAAGCTAGCCAGAAAGGAAACGTAGATTGGAGAGATTCTGAGCATCCTATACCTGTGCTCAGATGGTCATCAGAATGTAGAAGAAAATATGTCCAGTTAAGCATCTTGTGTTGAGAAATCCCCTGGAGAGACTAGCTGTGGGGCATATGCTCCAGAAAGGAGGCATGTGGCTTCTCCCTTCCTCCCTAGGGAGGGGGAGAGACAGAGCTGGAGCAACCGAGGGAAGAGACTGCCAAGCATCAGCCTCCCTCTGGCCATCTAGGCTAGCTGAAGAATCTCAGATGTGACACAGCTGAGACAGGAAAAATCAGTCATTTACTGGATCAAATTTTAAGTTTGAGGGCTGGAGAGAGAGTTCAATTATTAAGAAGATTGGCTGCTCTTCCAAAGAACGCAGATTCTGTTCCCAGCAGCCACACAGCAGCTCACAACTGTCTGTAACTCCAGTTCCAGGGGACCCGACACCCTCTTGTGGCCTCTGGAGGCACCAAGTGCACACCTGGTGCACAGACAAACACATGTAGACAAAACATGTACACATAAATTTGTTCTGCAGAAGACATTAAATTAAAAGGACAAAAAGACGGGCTGGAGAGATGGCTCAAAGGTTAAGAGCACTGACTGTTCTTCCAGAGGTCCTGAGTTCAATTCCCAGCATCCACATGGTGGCTCACAACCATCTATAATGAGATCTGGTGCTCCCTTCTGGCCTGCAGGGATACACACCGACAGAACACTGTATACATAATAAATATTAAAAAAAAAAAAAGGACAAAAAGACAAGGTCCAGATAAGGAGAAGATATTTGTCAATTTGACAATATTTGTAATATTTGACAAAGGACTAATGTCTAGACTATATAAAGCTCAAAGGTCAACAGTAGAAAAGCAATGTAATGGACCATGGACATGAGCTAGCATTCTGTAAACACGATATACAGATGGCAGAATGAGCATATGAACACATGTTCAACATCATTAGCTATCAGAGAAAACCAAGTTAAAATCATAGTGTCATACTTACTAGAACAGCAAAATAAAAACAGTGGCGATATCAAAACACCGGTCAAGATGTAGAGAAAACCAAACTACCTTGTACCCTACTGGTAGAAATACAAAATGATAAAGATGTGCTGAAAAAAGTTTGGTAAGTGAAAAGGCTAAACATACACTTATTAAAACAATCCACGCAACTGACACGCTTGGCATTTACCCCAGAGAAATGAAAATGTGTGCCCACATAAGAACTATTCATAAATGGTCATAGTAACTTTATTTGCAGTAGTCAAAATTTGAAAACAACTCATATGTCCCTTAATAGGTGAATGTTCTTCAAGAGGGAAAGAAACTTGGGTGCATCTAAACATGGGCTACTATATTACTCAGTAATAAAAAGGAATGAGATACTGATATATACAACATGTCTATAGGTCTCGTAGCAATATGTTGAGTTTTCTTTAAAAACAAAACAAAACACTTTGTTGTTGGTTTGTTTGTTTTGAGGCAGAGTCTCACTGTGTAGCCTTGGCAGGCTGGCCTTGAACCCATAAAGATCTGCCTGCCTCTGCCTCTCTAGTACTGGGATTAAAGGTATGTGCCACCGTGCCTGAGATTTAAAAGCTATTCTTAAAAGGTAACCCAGTAGGGGCTGGAGAGATGGCCCAGCGGTTGAGAGCACTAATTGTTCTTCCAGAGGACCCTGGTTCAATTCCCAGCACCCACATGGCAGCTCACAACTGTCTGTAACTCCAGTTCCAGGGGATCTGATGCCTTCTTCTGGATTCTGCAGGTACTGTATGCACATGCTGCACAGACATGCATGCATGCAGGGTATACACATAATTTTTTAAAAAGGTAACATACGGTTCCATTTATATCATATCTTCAAAATAACAGAATCAGAGGCAGAGAGCATCTAAGTGGTTGTGGGGAGTTAGAGGAGACCAGGCACAACTATGAAGGGTGTATGAGGGGAATCCATATCCTGACTATGGCTGTAGGTACACTGGTCAGAAGAAAGGCTTATGGAATGTACCAATGTCAATTTCCTGCTGTTGATATACTATTTATAGAAGATGTTATACAAGTACCCTCTGTTCTATTTTGTAACTTCTTTTTTTTTTTTTAAAGATTTATTTATTTATTATGTATGCAGTGTTCTGCCTGCACATATCCCTGCAGGCCAGAAGAGGGCACCAGATCTCATTGCAGATGGTTGTGAGCCACCATGTGGTTGCTGGGAATTGAACTCAGGACCTTTGGAGGAGCAGCCAGTGCCCTTAACCTCTGAGCCATCTCTCCAGCCCCTATTTTGTAACTTCTAATGAATATAGAATTATTTCAAAATAAAAGTTTTTGGTTAAAAAAATGACAAAACCAAGCCAGCAGTGGTGGCACACACTTTTAATGCCAGCATTCAGGAAGCAGTTGGATCTCTGTGAGTTCGAGGCCAGCCTGGTCTACAGAGTGAGTTCCAAGGAAGGCAAAGCTCCACAGAGAAACCCTGTCTTGAAAAAAAAAAGACAAAAACCAAAATGGCTGACAGTCAATGAGAATGTGCTAAGCTTGCCCGCTGGAGCACTGTGAAGAAAACCTGGTTGTGATTTAATTGTTCTATACAGTTATTTTTATAGGTTCTGTAGGCCACCTTTGAAAATTTTTATGTTATAAAACCCCCCCTCTGAAGACAGATTGCATAGTCAGACACTCTTCAGAAGCTATATGAAATCCAAGAAGTTACCATCAATTCTACATGAAATTACTCACCTGGTACAGGTATTCCAACTGTCCCTCAAGCTAACCTCAAATGACTCCCAGGAAAGGCGCTGCTGCTGCCAGTGGGTGGTGGGGTGTGGTTTCTCGCTGGCCTCCTCCGGTGTGGTACCACCACGGGCTAACTGGGACAGCTAACTAGCTCTTGTTTTGTCTCCCAGCTGCCCTACCCCGGCCCCACTGAATGCCGCTGTGGGTTTAGGAATGGCTTACCTGTTGAGGTCCCAGATTCTCAGAGGTGAGAAGTGCCCACAACAAGCTGTTCCTGTCACAAAAGAGCTGCCAAACAAAAGGAGAACCAGTTAGAGCTGGCTTGTCAGAACTTGCGGTGGAAATGGCTACACATTAGAAATGCAGGGCTCTTTTCCCAGGGATCATGGGGTTAAGCCAGAAAAAGAAACACTGAGAGAGAATGAGGAAGTGCCACAGAAGTTTGGAAAAGACAACTTGGTAGGTGTATGGAGAGGGGTGCAACCACCCAAGTCTGACTAGGGCCCTCCAGTTTCAACCACAGATGAGCTTGCTGTCTGGACTGGGACCACATGACCTCTGGCCACAGTAGCAGCAGACCTCTGGAAGGGCAGTCCTGAGCCCAAGGCAGTGAGTGAGCTTATTAAAGATAGAGCTATAGGAGACTCGAGAGCTGTAAGGTCTCCCGGGAACATCCTACTGGGACTGACAAGTGGTACCCCAATCAACTGGAGACATTCCAGAAGGGTTTAAGACTTGGGAAACCAGGCGTGGTGGCTCCCATAATCCCAGCACTCGGAGGCAGAGGCAGACAGATCTAAGTTCAAGGCCAGAACTCAGGCTGGTCTATAGAGAGACTCTCTCTCTCTCTCTCTCTCTCTCTCTCTCTCTCTCTCTCTCTCTCTCACACACACACACACACACACACACACACACACACACACACACACACACCACACCACACCACACCACACCACACCCAAATAATTGGAAGACTCTGGAAAAGTTGTACAAACACAGGGCAAATAGGAAAAGTGAGCACATCCCCAATGAGTCTATTGTAGCTTTCAGGGAGCAGGAACAAGTAGCCAGGCCTGCTGGGGAACGAGCTAGGCGTCAGGAGGAGTCTCTAAGGGCACTGTAACCCTGCCGACAGGCAGATGAGAAGGAAGGCACTCGCTCTCTGCAGTCTCAGAGCACTCAGCATGGGCAGTCTGCATGGTTTCATGCAGTGGAGCCAGGAGCACCCTGGGAAGAAGGGTGGGTGTGATGAACCACTGTTCTAGGACGAGAACGTGAACATGTGAGCTAGAGCAGACCTCTGGCAGGTCATCTGACACGGGTGGGAGGGGAAGCCTTAAGAAACCTAAAGTTGCCAGGTGGTGACAGCGCACACCTTTAATCCCAGCACTCTGGTAGGTAGAAATAGGCAGATCCTTGTGAGTTCAAGGCCAGCCTGGTCTACAGAGCAAGTTCCAGGACAGCTAGGGCTTCACAGAGAAACCCTGTCTTGAAAAACAAAACAAATGTTGTGGAATATTAATTTAAGATGTGTTACATTTGTTTATTATGTGGAACATCTGTTTAATGAGGCAAAGACGTGTTGCATTCTTTTATGTTGCAGTTGTTTAACTCTGTGAAGGTGTCACTGTGTCTGTCTAAAACACCTGATGGTCTAATAAAGAGCTGAATGGCCAATAGCAAGGCAGGAGAAAGGATAGGCAGGGCTGGCAGGCAGAGAGAATAAATAGGAGGAGAAATGTGGACAAAAGATGAAGGAATGAGAGAGGAAGAGGACGCTAGGGGCCAGCCACCCAGTCACCCAGTCAGCCACAGAGTAAGAGTGAAAGTAAGATATACAGAGGAAGAGAAAGGTAAAAGCCCAGAGGCAAGAAAAGTTGGCAAGAAGTAAGTCAAGCTAAGGCTAGGCATTCCTAAGTAATAAGTCTCTGTGTGTATTTATTTGGGAGCTAGGTGGCGGGCACCCCAAAAGAATAAAAAAGGTAAAACAACCAACTACAAACAAACAAAGAAAAGAAACCTCATGTCAATCAGTAATTAAAAGCACTGGCTGGGGCGGAGATGGGCAGGTCCCTACATGTTCTGCACAGGGAAAGACTGTATACACTAATGATATAGTAACCATGGAGGCAAGCAGCCCATTGGCCTCCACTGCCCGGCACCTGTGCTTTCTGTACCCAACATGTCAGTGGGAGGTGGAGTTCTACAGAGAAGGTTCTGGAAAAGGCGGTGGCTTGGGCAATGCAGCAGGTGAGGAGCTACCTGCCAGCTGCTGATGAGGGAAATGTCTGGGCAGGAGTTGGCCAAGTTTACTATCAAAACGGTAGACTAGTGCCCACCCGTCATCTCCAACTGGAACAAGGCCAAATAAGAGACCCTGGGGTTCTCAAGCCTCAAGCCAAGGTTTCCTCCAGGAACAGGACAGCACCCCAACTTCCTCCTGATCTACAGTACTGCCAGCAGCCATTCTACTGTGAAGTGGTAGTGCCACACAGCCTCTCCTGCCAAGCCTCAAGTGGTTCCTAGCCTGGGCAGCAGCCACTGGACACCAAGGAACCACACTACAGAGTCAGGAGGTGCCACCCTCGCCTTGCTCCTCCCGCATTTTCTCTTTAGGGTAACCCATTAATAACTGGTAAAGCCAATTACCTTGGCCTGGAAACATAATAGCTACTTGGAAATCACTGGAGCAGGCAATTGGGCTCTCCAGACTTTTGAGGAGTTGGGGCCAGGTGAAGGGCGCCAGCACAGACACAGACATCTCTTAAGGAAGTCTCTCTAGGCCTCTTGCCCACAGGCCTAAATTAGCTTCAAGGTAAATCAATAGCGAGGCGGGGGAGGAGCCTGGAAGTTAATCCCTGCCACTCCTGCAGCCCTGACCTCCCAGCAGGTGGGGTAGGGGCAGGGGTGAAGGGGGGGGATGCAAACCCTTCCCAAGGGACTCCTGTCCTCTGCCTGGCCCATTCACTCCTGGCCCTGACCATCTGCCACCAAGAAGAGGGCCCCTCACCTCTTTAATTGTCTATAAAAGACACCTATAAACGTTTCTTTCCAAAAGCTGTCCTTTCCCTTAGCCTAGGTGCTGTGAAGCTCCCATGTCTTTCTGGCCCTTAGGAGGGCCTGAGAGTTGAATCACATAAACACTATGTGAGACTGCAAACAGCTTCATCAGCTGGAGACCTTCCCAATCCAAGGGACTGCCTGGGTGTCCAGGAATCAAGCCAGCTACAGATACAGGGGTCCCTCGCCCCTGGAGCTCCTCCCCACTGCTGTGAGACGCTTCCTGCCTGCCCTCTCCCCAGTGCCTATGGTTGTTAGGAAGAACGTGGCAAAAGCAGACCAGCCACGTTTGAAGGCAGATGGTAGTAACAGTTGAGCCTGGCCGGTCCAGACAGGGCTGCCAATACTCAGCACCGTCTAGATAGAATGCTCTGAACGGGCAATGGGGTGGGGTTATGCCTACTGGCAGCTTTACCCCCCAGTTCTCTAAGCTCCACAGTCCTTGCTCCCAAAAGTAAACCCTGTCCTGATCTCTTGCCTGCTTGGGGTCAGCCTGGTGTCTGTGCTGGATTTGCTCTGTATTTTTCTCTATGCTGGGTCCTATGCCAACCAAGCCTGTTAGAGTTCTCATCAATGAAATGAAACACATGCATTCCTTCCATGGTTCCTCCTAATAGACTGCCCACATGTACTCCCATGTCTAGTACAGGGCCTAGCCCAAAGGGCATTCAATACAGATCCATGAAACTGACCAGAAAGCCCCCCCCCCCAAGAGTTCAAAGCCAACAGGGTTGGAGAAGCCAATCATACAGCCAGTGAAATTGGTCCTTCTGCTTCTTATATTTTTGATTATGAGCCTAGCCTTTAACGGCTAAGCCATCTCTCCAGCCCAGTCCTTCTGCTTCTTAAAGGCATATTCCTCAAATCACCAAAGACTCAAACCTGAAGAGCAACATATGACAGTTATCCACTGATGGGGAAGTAACAAGTCCCTCAGAGTCCATAAGCTATACTTTTTCTTTTTAACAACAAAGCCCTTGCCAGAAGTTAGCCTAAAATTTCCCGTCTTTTCTCAGCCCTTCTGACCCTACCTCAGGCAAGCCTGGTATCACGCAAGCCATAAGGTCCAAAGTGGACACAGAAGCCATCCAATCTAGAAAGACACTAGGAGAGTTAGGGGTCCTGCTGCAAGACGAAGAATAGAAGGTTAAGAAAATTCAGAACAATGGAGAGTAAGAAGGGACTTCCCCTGGAGCTGGAGTTACATGCAGGTGTAAGTTGTCCATCATGGGGGCTGGGAACCAAACCCCAGTCCTCTGCAAAAGCACCAAGTGCTCTTAACCACTGAGTCATCTTTCCAGCCCCTTTATTTTGCTCTGCTTTGGCTGACCAGGAACTCACTAGGAAGCTCAGGGTCCTCCTGTTTCTGACTCCTAAGTGCTGGGATTACAGGACCACACACCTGCCGCCTACTGTGCATTTACTGAAGATGGGACTTGACCCTGTAAAGATTTGGGTATTGATTAGGGGACAGTACTGGATGCAATCCCTCACAGACACGGGAATGACTGTCATTCACTTACTATTTGTTTAGAGACAGGGTCTTTGTATATGGCCCAGACTAGCCTTGACCTCTCAGTCCTCCTCCCTCAGCCTCCCAAGTGTAAGATCACCAGCATGCAGCACCATACCAAGCAACTGTAGTTGACTGAGCCCTACTATGTACAAGGTGCTGAGCAAGCATTTTACTAGCATTTTCCCACAACTAGGAACCCCAGGGAGGTAATGAAACTTGCCTCTTAATCACCTGAGCAGCAAGTAGTAGGATTAGAATTGACCCTCTTAATTCTAGAAGCCATTATATCACCCCTCACCTCACAAACTTGCATGTGAGCTGTTTCGAGTTTGTTTGGGTTAGCAGACGTAGTACAATGTCTGCCTGAAGTCCCCAAAGTTCCTGAATGATCGAGTGACTGAATCAGCAAGCTGAACAAATGATTCTACCTGGAGAAGACAAGCCTGGCCCGAGACAGGCAGCAGCAGCAGCAGCAGCAGCAGCAAAGTGTTCTGCTCAGCAGCTGTGCCCCGGGGAGGGCCGGAGCCACCCAGCTGGCCTAGGCCCCACAGCCTGAGCCCAGGCTGACACGCTTTGGCAAGGGAGGCCCCCAGAGCTGTCACATCACTCAGCAGCATGCCCATCAAGTGTATTCAGTTCTCCTCAACCCGCACTGGCATTTTAATTACTGTTGGGTAAACTAATTTGTACAAATGAAGGCCAGGCTGCCTAA